ATTTATATATGTTGTCATAATATTTTTTTAATTATAAATCACATTAATAGGTGTTCTAACTTTAATTTTTTTTTTTTTTTTTTTTTTTTTTTTAACTATAGAATGTTAATAAGTTAATAAGATTTGTTTTTGCACATGTTAAACTAACACATAATATTTTAACACATTATCTTATTTATGTCACAATCATCTTATTTAGATCACATTACCTCTATATCATATCATTTTAAACCTAACTCATATTTCATATATTTTTAATAAAAAGTTAAAAACTATACTAATATACTCCCTCCGTCTCAAAATATTAGTCCCTCTTCAAAAATCAAGTACAAAAATAATATAAATTTTCTATTTTGCCATTCTTTTAAATTAATAAACAATATAAAAAGTACAATTATGACATTAATATTTTCAAAAAATATACTATCAAAAGAATAATTTTAAAAAATCAATTTTTTTCATATGTAATACTTGTACTATCAAAAAAAAATTAAATTCCTCAAAAAGAGCCATTATTTTAGGACGGAAAGAGTAATATTTTTCAAACAATCTCATAAATTACAAAAACATCACAATCAACTCAAATTAAACCTCTAACTTTCTCGCTCTCAAACCAACAGTGTAGAATTTGTTAATTAGGTCAAGTTTGGCATCTTTCAAAAAATTTAAAAAGTCAAAAAGTCACTATCCTATTTAAGTCACATCATCTCATTTAAGTCACATCACCTCTCTAACACATCACTTCAAATCCAATCCAAATCCAATCTATATTTCATAAAAATTTAAAAAATACACTTATTTAATCTTCCCAAACTTGACCTTAGTATAAAATACTCAAATTTTTATTTTATTTTGGAACATAAGAGTTACCTTGACTCTGAGCATTCATTTGTTTGTCCCTTCAATTTTTATTTTTATTTTCCCCTGCGAGAGAAAATTAAGAGAGAGAGAGACAGAGAGAGAATGGCACAAAGTGCAGTGGCCTTCTTGCTTACAAAGCTTGGAAGCTTGATTGAAGCAGAGCTAAAATCGTTGGGTAGAGTTAAGGGAGAAATTGTGTTCATCAGAGACGAGCTTCAGAGCATGAGTGCCTTCCTGAGGGTTGCTGATGCAATTGAAGACACTGATCTAGAGATCCAAGCATGGGTTGAGCAAGTCAGAGACGTCGCTCACGATACCGACGACGTTCTTGATGAATTTATGCTTCGCTTTGCTCATCGTCATCATCATCATCATCATCATCGTGGATTCTATGGATCTGTTTGTAAGATCTATTATCAAATTCAGAACCTGAAAGCTCGTCGTCAAATTGCTTCTGATATACAGGACATCAAAGCCAGAGTCATCGATATTGCAGAGAGACGTCAGAGGTATGGTTACAAATTCAGTACCTCAGAGCAAGCCTCAAGCTCCGATGTGGCGAACAATGGAGGATGTTATGATCGAAGAGGTGATGCACTTCTATTTGAAGAAGATGATCTTGTTGGCATCGACAATCCCAAACAACAGCTCATTGATGGCGTCCTTGATGATGCTGATTCTCGACTCAAAGTGATTTCGGTGGTGGGAATGGGGGGCTTGGGTAAAACCACCCTCATCAAGAAAGTTTATGACGACCTGGAAGTGAAGAGACAATTCCAAACCCATGCTACGATCACTGTTTCTCAATCATTTAATATTAAAGAGATCCTCACAGGTTTGATTCAACAACTCTTTGATGAAGTTAGACGACCTCTCCCTCACAGGTTCGAAACCATGGACAACAGTAATCTGAAAGCAGTGCTCAAAGAATTCCTCCAAGAAAGCAAGTACGTGCTCGTCCTTGATGATATTTGGAGCTTAGAGGCATGGGATGATATCAAAATTGCATTGCCAAACAGCAACTGTGGCAGCCGTGTGTTGCTCACAACGCGTATTGTTAATGTTGCTTCTACCTCTTGTAGAGAATCCCATGGTTACATCTATGAAATGAAGGCTTTGTCTCAAGAAGAGTCTTGGACTCTGTTTTGTAACAAAACATTTCAGGGGAAGGATTGCCCTCCACATTTAATTGAACTTTCAGAAAGTATCCTGAGACGATGCGAGGGCTTGCCGCTGGCGATTGTGGTGATTTCTGGGCTGTTGGTTTCGAAGGACCAAGGAAGCGTAGATGAGTGGGAGTTGGTGAATCGCTGTCTTGGTGCTGAAGTAGAAGTCAGTTATTTGAAGAAAATATTGTTGCTAAGTTACAGTGATTTGCCTTACTATCTCAAGTCTTGTCTCTTGTACTTGAGTTGTTTCCCAGAGGATCATTTGATCGATTGGATGAGCACGATTCGATTGTGGATTGCAGAAGGATTTGTGGAAGTTAAAGAACTTGGAAAGACACTAGAGGAAGTTGCAGAGGCTTACCTCTATGAGCTCCTTAATAGAAGCTTGATTCAAGTAGCGACGAGAAGACTAGATAGAAGGATCAAAAACTGTCGTATACATGACCTTCTGCGTGAAATCATTCTTTCAAAGTCAAGAGATCATAACTTTCTAACGATAGCAGGAGAAGGAGAAGGAAACATGAGGTGTCCTGAAAAAGCTCGACGACTATCAATTCATAATACCTTACCAGATATACCAGAACAAGGTAAGTGTTTCTCTCGACTACGTTCTTTACTTATGTTTGGGGTAGATGAACCCATGTCTAAGTCCTCCATGCCTCTATTGTTCAATGGTGGGTTGAGGTTGTTAAAAGTTTTACACTTGAGTAGTGCTTCTTTGGAGAGATTTCCAGGCCATGTGGTCAAGTTGTTCCATCTAAAGTATCTAAGCTTGAGAGGAACAAACGTGAAGGTGCTTCCAAAGTCGATTGGATTGCTTTGGAACCTAGAGACGTTAGATCTTAAAAACACGTATGTGAGAGAGTTGCCCATTGAAGTTCTAAGGCTCCAAAAGTTGCGCCATCTTTTGTTATATCATGATGAAACTGGGCATATTTATTTTCCATTTCACTTCAGACATGGCTTTGAGGCACCATCTAAGATAGGAGGCTTGCAATCCCTACAAAAGTTATGCTTCTTAGAGGCAAACCATGCCAACGGTAGCACCCTAATGAAAGAGATAGGAAGGCTGACCCAATTAAGGAGGTTGGGAATTTTGAAGTTGAGAAGAGAAGATGGGGTGGGTTTGTGCTTATCCATTGAGAAGTTAAGCAACCTTCGCTCATTAGGTGTAACTTCAATAGAAGATGATGAGATCCTTGATCTACAATCTCTATCTGCAGCTCCTCAATTTCTTCAACGACTATACTTGACAGGACGTTTAGAGAAGTTACCACAGTGGATAACTTCTCTTCATGGCCTCACGCGCTTATCTTTGTGGTGGAGCAAGTTAAGGGATGATCCACTGAAATCCCTTCAAGATTTTCCCAATCTGGTTCGTCTCTCACTTGCTTATGAAGCATATGAAGGGGAGGGATTGTGTTTCAAGGCTGGTAGATTTCAAAGACTCAAGCGTTTATCCCTTATAAGATTAAAAGGATTGAGATGGTTGACAATGGAGGAAGGTACGATGTCTCGACTTGAAGATCTATACTTCTGGAATTGTGAATTGTTGGAGGAGTTGCCATCAGGCATTGAACATCTATCAAATCTTAAATATCTTGAACTGTCTGACATGTCTAATGAATTAATTTCAAAGTTGAATCCTGGCGTACAAGATGGGGATTATTGGAAAATAGAACACATCCCAAAAGTATGGATTGATGACTCAAAAGATGGTCGTTGGAAAGGAAGATTTCTCTAATGAGAGAAAGGAAATGTTTTTTTTCTTTTTTAATGTTTAATTTACTAAATTGGATCATTATCACGTTTGGTGCCATTTCTTTTTCATGTTCATGTTCATGTTCCTGTTATTTCATTTATTTATTGAATTTCTCACAGTGATTTAGAATTTTCATTTTGTATCTCTTTTTTATTTATTTATATTTTGACGGCTTGCAAATCTAATTTGTAACCTCCTTAATTGATCTCTAAAGAATTATAGAAGCTCTATTAAATTCAAATTCAGTTGTTTATTTTGCAATTGTAATGATTTTAATTTATATCTGCACAAGTTAAATCGATCTCAAGCGTAATGTAATTTTTATTAGTTTTGTGATTTCTATGAATTTTCGTGTTTAAGCGTTTTTAAGAGGCTAAATTCAAATTTCATCTTGTATTCATGGACTTTTGAGTGGATTTGTATGTGTTTGCCACAATGACTATATTAACACATTTAGGCTATGTTTGTTTTGGCTGAGACAAAATTAAGATAATAAAAGTACATTAATGCCTAAAAATAATTAAATAGTTACACACTTTTAAACAATTATTAAGATGCTCTTAGAGCATTTTTTTAGTGTAATTTAAAAAAAAAAATTACAAAAAAAAAAAAACAAGATTTGGCCCTTCTAAAAAAATTTATTTTTGTTTGGTTATTCTTACGAAAATGAATAGAGAGACAACTGTTTTCATTCATTTACTAGTATTTTTTTCTCTCTTTTAAATTCAAAATTCAAACATAACATAAATGAAATGAAATTGCTGAATTGCTTTTGCACCAGCGGGAGTTGATAAGCCTTTGTTTTACACCAGCTGAAGCTGCCTAAGCAATAGGGGGCACAAAATCGAAGAAAACAAATAAATATATAATAGGTGGTAAAAAAAATAATAAAAAATAAAAAAAACAAAAACCTACTCAACTGAGCTCAGTAAGTTTGTCTCAAATCTCAATTACTTAACAGGACACAATTTTATCATTTTCTGGGAACATGATCTCTACAAACAAGTCCAGTGGATGCACTGCCACAAACCCTTGATATTAAAAAAAAATTGTACATGTTTTCAAGATTTTTAGATTGCAAGTTTTTCATATTCAACTCTATGAAAACTCAACAAATGCAATGATTCAAAAAGGCCCTAGATTCCACAATAAAAAATAAAAAAAAAATCTCAATTCCATCCAAGGCTATGTTTACAGGAACTCTCAAATTAAAATGCAATGATATCTCGAATGATAGGTTTGAATATTACAGCATATATATTCCCCACACAAATAAAGAAAAGCCCATGGCTGATACAATTACATGAACTCATATTTCAAATTTATAAGTGTTTCTGATACCACAATATAGATTGTCTTCACTCTATATACTAATCATAGGATCCACCTTCACTGTTCCACGAGCATCGTGGATGGGTCTAGAGCTCTCAGTTCTTTTACTAATGGCATGGCTCAGCAAGTGAAGCAATTGGGTTGATCGGTAGAAATTTAGTTTGATTTGTATTTGGCTGCTTGTGCTCTCTTGCCATTTTGCAAACAGCCTAAGGTGACAAAGACTGCTTTATTGCTTTTCATTTTCTGATCCATGGGAAGAAAGAACTTTGGCATGAAAACGATTATAGATACCTACTTAAATCATAGAGCACTTGCACACTGGATTAATACTATCAATTACCAAGCATCTCAGACAATCTCTCTAGTCAATCACTAATTATCAATTTTTTTTAATTATTACGTCAGCTTATTGTGTCCCTTAGATAGTTGATTCTATCGGGAAGTACACACCGGTTTATCAAGGGACAACAACGGATTCTACGAGCTCTTGAAGTGGAGCTAGCTCCTTCTTGTCAATCAGTCCAAATTCCTGCATAAAGACAGTATAGTGAAATTTCCGAACAATATTAGGATATGATAGTTACAAACATCATCATATACAGGTGGCAAAACTGCACAACCAGCTTCTAAATTGAAACCCAAACCAGTTTTTGGAAGGGAACAAAGAACATAAAATGAGTCTCAAGACTTGAAGCATACTCACACAGGTAAACAATATGTAATGCTTGAAGCAGGTATTTAGATGGGCCTCCTCTTTAAGACTTACAATCTTCTGGAAATGACAGTGATAAATATGAGCATAAACACAGAACATGCGTTTGAATATAGTCTTCACAACTTCTCTAAAGTTGGGAGGAAAGGGGGCACCTACAAAATTTAGAATAAAGAATAAACATAAACTAAAGGGAACAAAACAGACCCAACCGGGCAAAAAGCATAATCAATAATACAAAAATTTAACTCAAAGAATCTTCAAGAAGATACTGTCTTTGACTTTTATAAAAAAAGATTAATAATAAATTAGGAAACAAATCAAAACCATATATTACCAAGCCTTTGAGGAAATATGGATTCACCATTTAATTGAGATTCAATCCAGTCCATCAAATATTCAACATATTTTAGAGCTGAAACTTCAATTGGTTTCTTGATTTGTACCCCATCAGCCAATCTGTACTCATACCTGTAAAGTTTTATCTACATGCAGTCAGGAACTAGCAAACTGTAAAATTATAGAACTATGCTGTGTTGGTAATCATTCCATTGACATACTAAATCAAGCAATCCTGGATCTAATAGAGTTTTCTTTGCCCGTAATTAAGAAGCATTGACACAGATACAAGACACAAATACAACACTATATAGACACTGACAGAAATTTACCCCAAAAGAAATAGACATGACACAGCAATGAAGGCCTTCATTCTCAAATTAAAATGAAAAGTTTTAAAAAAAATTGACCAACTAAAAAACTAGAAAAACTCCATTGTGCAAATTCGAACACACTATTCTTACAATATTATCTAGAAAATAAATATAATATCTATAAATTATTAAAAAATTAATCCATCACTCATTGCATGGCAAATCAAATATACAAAATTGATCAAAAAGCAATTTAGTCTAAAAGCAATTTAGTCTATAAGTATTTTAAAAATTGAAAACACTACAAGATATACTTTACCAAAGGGACAAAAAAATCGGTAGAAAACTATAACTTATGCTGATAGAAATTGGTCAATTATTTTGTATTATGTCACCCTCATGTTGACTATTTGCAGTAATCATGTGTGAGCGTGTGCTTAGAGCTGATTGGAGAAGCATGATCTGCATAATTAACCCCAAGTACCTGACCTAGACATTTGTTAAGTCAAGTATGTGTGCATGAGAGCACATGCCCAATAGTTACTCGACACTAGCATTGATTGCTAAAAAATCATGCAAGTTGTATGACATATTAATGGTATAAACAAAGGCTACAATCTTTCCCGTAGGGTCTACAAGGTGAGGTTTGGTTTTGGTGTTTTATAAAATAAAAATACCGCAACCATATATGAAAACATATGGAAACAAATGACAAAAAATGTATGAAAGCCACATTGATAACATAAAGAGTGTTAGGTGAACTTGTTTATACCATCAACTGATGTAATTGAATAGAGAACTCAATTTTTTCGGAATATGACAACTGAATTTCTGTGAAGTTAGTAAGACATACTTGGGGCCTGCAGTCTTTGTAGGACAGTTTTCTGGAGTGCAGAACTCTGTGAGGGTACCATAAAGCAAATTCACCTGGTTGAAGAAGTCCACAGCTGAAAATTGAAAAAGCAAACAGCCCCAGTTCAGTTGATTCTCGGACAGAAGATTACAGCAGTATATGATTTTTTTTCCTTTTTCTTTTTGGTTTAGGGGTGCTTGGGAAAGCAAGTCAAGTATTGGCATGTAAAAGATGCACCATGTTCGTATGAGTCCAACACTAACAGTGCATGGACACTCTTCAACATGTGCGCCATAAGCCCTCAATAGGTTTGGAATATATAAACTTTTAATATTGGACCTGTAGCCAACACTTGCACAATCCTTAATGTGTGGATGTCAGGACAGTGTGTGTAGAAGTAAATGCAAAAATAACACAAGCTGGTTTTCATACAACATACATCACAATATAGAGACCTAATGTTAAAAAAAGAAAGAAATTTTTTTTTTGAGGGTTTTAGTAAAGAAGGATTTCTTTAAGGAAGAGGAGACGAAGAATGTGGCTTGTATGAATTTTGTACATACATAATAAATGCACATATATCATAATAGAGACATATATTATAACCTCCCATATCAGCAAATAGTGAACTATTATCAAGAACGACGTGTGAAAACATTGATAGGACCATATCATACTGATAAGAGTATTGAAGGAACCTGTGACAAGGCTTCAACTGATCAGATGGAGCAGCCAGAGTTAAAGCAGAGGCATCACATTAAGCATGTGCAGAATGTGAAAGACAAGCCACCTGATCAAAGATAGATAGATACAAGTATAGATACAAAGTGTTGTAATGGAAAGTGGTTAGTTGTGTAACAACTTAGCTAGTTAGTTAGAACAGACTGTAGTATAAATATCTGTAATGACTTTCATTATCAGTCGAGGAAATAAAATCTTCATTTCTTGTTATGGTATCAGAGCCATTCCAGCTCTAATGAGCATCGATGGCAAATTCATCTTCTTCAAATTCATCTTCTCTTATACCTCCTAATCTCAGTCTTTTGCTTTCAAATTTCAATTCTCTCATCACTGTCAAACTTGATTCCAACAACTTTCTGATCTGGAAAAATCAGATTCAAAATGTTCTACGTGCAACAGAACTTCTTGAATTTGTTACTGGTTCACGATCATCTCCACAACCAGAGATAATTGATTCATCAGGAAAATCTATTGCTAATCCAGAATTTGCGAAATGGAAAACTATCGATGCTCATCTTCTCAATTTCATCACAGCAACAGTCTCCTCCTGTCTTCTCTTCAGTTCTTCATCTTCAAACTTGCTCGCAAATCTGGAATGCTCTGGAAAAAGTTATACCTCTCTCTCTAGGTCTCACATTCATCAGTTGAAGAATAAACTGCAAACAGTTTCAAAGAAAGGTCTATCCGTGGAGGAATATCTCACTGAGATCAAAGAAATTTTATCTCTGCTTAGTCTTGCATCATCTTCTGTAGATGACGAAGATCTGATTCTTCTGACTCTGAATGGTCTACCAGATGAATATGATGCCTTTAAAACAGCAATTCCTGCTAGAGTTGAATCTATTACTATGGATGATTTGAGGTCTTTGTTATGTTCTGAGGCTATTCATATAGAAAGAAAGACAAAGTCTGCTATTAGTACTGATGCTACGGTTGCCTATTCTGTAAAGAAGAGTAATGAATCTAGTTCTTTCAGAGGATCTTCCTCAAATTACAGAGGAAGACATTCATTCCGTGGTGGAAGAGGGGGCAGATTTCAAGGAGGTCGTTATACTAGAGGATCAAGAGGAGAGAATTATGTTTCCTCAAAGTGCCAAATCTGTGGTGGTTACAATTACAATCATATAGCCTTTGATTGTTGGTTTAGAATGGATCCCAACTATCAACCATGTCAATCTTCTTCTTCGTCTCCCTTTCCTTCTTCTTCTCATATGTCTCTATCAAGGGCTTATTCCGCTGTGAATTCCCAATCTTCTTCTCCTTCAAATCCTTCTACACCATGGAATATTGACTCTGCAGCCACAAACCACATCACCAATGATTTAGGTAACTTTCATCTTTACCAACCCTATCAAGTATCTGACCGAGTCACTGTTGGCAATGGTCAGACTTTGCCCATTCAACACACTGGTAAGGGCATTTTACCAACTCCTCAACATTCTTTTCATCTTCAAAATATGCTTCATGTTCCTCATATCTCTTCTAATCTGTTATCTGTGCATATATTGACTAAAGATAACAATTGTTCAGTTGTGTTTGATGCTAACTCATTTCTTATTCAGGACAAGCACACGAACCAGGTGCTCCATAAAGGCCCTAACATTCATGGTCTCTATCAATTTGCATCATCTTCTCCTTCTTTTTCACAAGCTCATCTCACCACCTCTCCATCATCAGTGTCTTTGCCTACATGGCATCAAAGGCTGGGTCATCCATCTTCCTTGAAATTCAAGCATATAGCTCAGCATTTACCTGTTTCTTTTAAGAATAAGTGTACTGAATTTTCCTGTACACCTTGCAATGTTTCTAAAAGTCATAAGCTTCCTCTTAAGCTTTCTAGTTCCACTGTTGCTCAACCTTTTTCTCTTGTACACAGTGATGTATGGGGCCCTTTTCATGCCTCTAAATGTGGATATAAGTACTATCTTTTGTTTGTTGATGATTTCACAAGATTCACATGGATTTATCCTTTGCATGTCAAGAGTGAAGTTTATTCTACTTTTGTTTCTTTCAAAGTTTATGCTGAAACACAATTTGGTCTTTCTCTTAAAGTGTTTCAATCAGATAATGGTACTGAATTTGTTAATCATAAAATGACTGACTATTTGCTCTCTCATGGCATTGTTCACCAGCTCAATTGTCCATATACTCCTGAGCAAAACGGGATTGCTGAGAGAAAACACCAACATATTACAGAAACTGCTATTGCTTTACTTTCTCAGCCTTCTGTTCCTCTTGAGTACTGGTTTGACGCCATGGCCACAGCAGTGTTTCTCATCAACAGAATGCCAAGTCTTTCTCTGGATCATAAATCTCATTTTCAGCTTCTTTTTTCTTAAGGTCTTTGGTTGTGAATGTTTTCCTTGGTCAAGGCCTTATAACTCTCATAAACTTCAACCTCAATCAGCTCCATGTGTTTTCATTGGCTATCATCCAGTTACTAAAGGTTATAGATGCTTAGATCCACTTTCTGGAAAACTCTCTATTTCTAGGCATGTCTTGTTCAATGAATATTTTTTTCCTTTTGCTTCCTGACCTCATGCTTCACCTCCATCTATCTCCTCTTTTTTTCTGGTCCACTCCTGTGTCCTCTAAGTCATCTAGCTCTGCACATCCCACTTCTATTTCTCCAGCATTTGTTTCTCCCTCTCCTGCCATGCCTATCTCTGTTGCTGTCCCTTTCTCTGCTAGTGTGCCTTCCTCTGCTGCTGTGCCATCCTCTGCTGCTGTGTCTTCTCTTCCAGCTCAGTCTCCCTCTCCTGTTGTGCCTCCCATTCCCATTAATTCTATTTCCATTCTTCTTCCTTTGCCTACTCCTTCCTATACACCTGTTCCATCTTCTTCTAATATCCATCCCATGCGTACCAGATCCAAAACCTCTGCCCTTCGTGCTTTTTCTTCTGATCTCTCCACCACTGAACCAACATCTGTCAAGCAGGCTTTGCAATCTTCTGTCTGGGTTACTGCTATGACTGACGAAATTCAGGCTTTGCATAAGCAACAAACATGGGTTTTGGTTCCTCTTCCTTCTCATAAAACCTCTATTGGTTGTAAGTGGGTTTTCCGGATTAAAAAAAATTCTGATGGTTCCATTGCTTGATATAAAGCTAGACTTGTGGCTAAAGGATATCTTTAACAAGAAGGAATTGACTATCAAGAAACTTTTAGTCCAGTTGCTAAACAGCCTACCATTTGTATTCTTTTATGTCCCCTCTTCATCATCAGTGGCCTATCAAGCAGACGGATATATCCAATGCTTTTCTTCATGGTACTTTGGAGGAGGAAGTTTATATGGATCAGCCTCCGGGGTTCATTGATGCCTCTTTTCCTTCTCATGTTTGTAAGCTCAGGAAAGCCTTGTATGGTCTCAAACAAGCTCCTCGCGCTTGGTATTCTACCTTCTCCAAATTTTTGCTTAGTCAAGGCTTTTGTCTGAGTCATTCTGATTCTTCTCTGTTTGTCCGCAAGATTCTACCAGCATTACTATTATTCTCATCTATGTCGATGACATCCTCCTTACTGGTAGTGATTTCTGCTTCATTGCATCTCTTCTTCAACAGATGCATTTGGCCTTCTCCATGAAAGAATTAGGCACTCTTTCTTACTTTCTGGGTGTTTCTGTCCAGCCTCACCCTCATGGTCTTTTCTTGTCTCAACAAAAATATGCTGGGGACCTACTGCTTAAAGCTGGTTTAGTGGATTGCAAACCTTGTTCCACTCCACTTTCTGTTCATCCTTCTACAAATCCCACTAATGCCTTACCTTTCTCTGAACCATCATTTTACAGAAGTCTAGTTGGTGGCCTCCAGTATTTAACCATTACTAGGCCTGATTTGGCTTTGGCTGTCAATCAGGCATGCCAACACATGCAAGCACCTACTAATGGACATTGGGTCAAGTCAAGCGGTTGCTTCACTATGTTAAGGGTACTTTACATCATGGTCTCTCTTTTAGGCCCGGACCATTTCTTATTCAAGCCTTTACCGATTCAAATTGGGCTGGGGACTGCTTGGATCGTCGCTCCACCTCTAGTTTTTGTGTGTATCTTGGCCCTAATCTCATTTCTTGGTCTGCTAAGAAGCAGCCAACTGTCTCTCGCTTGTCCACTGAGGCAGATTACAGGTCTATGGCCCATACAGCTGCTGAACTCTATTGGATACAAAAGCTTCTTTCCGATCTCTCCATTTCTTGTTCCCACACGCCCCTTCTCTGGTGTGATAATGTTTCTGCTATGGCCCTAGCCACTAATCCTGTGTTTCATTCTCGGTCGAAACACATTGAAGTTGATTGCCATTTCATCCGGGAACGGGTCTCCTCCAAACAACTTGCCTTGTCTTACATTCCCACTGCTGACCAGGTCGCTGATATTTTTACAAAGCCTTTGACTTCCTCTTGGTTTCAATATCTGAAAGACAAATTCCTGGTGCTTCCTTGCCCCATTCGTTTGAGAGGGGATGATAAGAGTATTGAAGGAACCTGTGACAAGGCTTCAGCTGACCAGATGGAGCAGCCACAGGTAAAGCAGAGGCATCATATTAAGCATGTGCAGAATGTGAGGGGATGATAAGAGTATTGAAGGAACCTGTGACAAGGCTTCAGCTGACCAGATGGAGCAGCCACAGGTAAAGCAGAGGCATCATATTAAGCATGTGCAGAATGTGAGGGGATGATAAGAGTATTGAAGGAACCTGTGACAAGGCTTCAGCTGACCAGATGGAGCAGCCACAGGTAAAGCAGAGGCATCATATTAAGCATGTGCAGAATGTGAGGGGATGTCATTGCATCTCTTCTTCAACAGATGCATTTGGCCTTCTCCATGAAAGAATTAGGCACTCTTTCTTACTTTCTGGGTGTTTCTGTCCAGCCTCACCCTCATGGTCTTTTCTTGTCTCAACAAAAATATGCTGGGGACCTACTGCTTAAAGCTGG